CCCCACATCGCTGGCGTCCAGAGTACCACTCACGAAGCTGCTGAGGGGACATGGTCACACCGCTCCGCTGCTGCTGCTGGCGCTGACCACCACCGGAGCCACTCCTCGGTGCAGAGTCACGACTCGCACCACCACCGCCGCCGCCGCCGCCTCCGCCGCTGCCACCGCCGCCTCCGCCGCCTCCTCCACCTCCGCCTCCTCCACTACCTCCGCCGCCTCCGCTCCCTCCGCCACCTCCACCGCCTCCGCCGCCTCCCTTGCCGCCGCCGCCACCACCACCCCCGGCACCACTCCCACCACCACCCCCACTCCCTCCAACGCCTCCACCATCACCTCCACCGCCCCCTCCACCCCCTCCAAAGCCCTTGCCCCCCTTGCCCTTGCCAGTGCGGCGTCTCCCACTCAGGGCAGACGCAGCGCCGACCGACTCGAAACCAACGAGGTCGGTCGCAGCAGCAGAGGCGACAAAGGGCAAGAGGGGGGAGGGAGAACACCCCTCAAAGACGGGGGTGCGAGGGTCACCACGAGAGGCTCCTACAGCGACTATGCTCTTCTCTATTGCTAGGAGGGCCTTCTCGAGGAAGTCAACGGTGAGAGTGGTGGGGCAAACAGAGAGGAAGTGGTCCCTGACTACGCGAAGAGAGTCAGGGAGCCGGGTGACTATGTAGTATAGGGTGATGTACATGGGGGGGGGGTTCTTGGCGCAGAACTCAGCACGAAGCGCAGCGCGGTAGCGAGTGTCAAGAGTGCGGAGGTGCGTAATGAGGTCAGCAACTGTGGGAAAGGCAGCAAGGTCAGGGAAGAGGAAGGGAAGCATGAGGCGGCTCAGTGCAGCAGTGGCAGGGGAAGAGTAGCGTGCAACTACAGCGTCGTACAAGGTCTGAGCACTCTTGTACTGGCTAAAGTGCGCACGCTCAGTGGTCGGTAAGTGGCAGCGAACAGCAAGGCGAGCAGCAGCATCACGTGTGGCCCACTGTGAGCGAACAGTGGCGTCAGCATCAGCAGCAGGGGCAGGGGAGGCACCAGAAGTGAGGTCAAACAGGGAGAGGCCGTCTGCCCTATCGCACTGCAGAAAAAGCTGTAGATCATCTACCCATACCTCAAAGTCCACTGCCCGACCCTCAGCGTCAAAAGTGAGAACGCTAGGGGAAGCCATAACAGCAGTAGGCAGGCAGTGAGCGCAGTGAGGCAGAGACTGAGCTCTTACCAGGCAGGTGGGGCGATCGGGCTGCTCGGCGGCTCGGCTGCAGGCGGCTCGGCTGCCGGGCGGCTCGGCTGCACGGGCGGCTGGGCAGCTGGGCGGCTCGGCTGCTGGGCGGCTCGGCTGCACGGTGCTGGGCGGCTCGGTTGTCGGGCGGCTCGGCTGTCGGGCGGCTCGGCTGTCGGGCGGCTCGGCTGCTGGGTGGCTCGGCTGCCTGGCGGCTCGGTTGCTGGGCGACTCGTGCGGTCGGGACGGGGCCGTAGGAGGGGCCTTAGTGGGGCTGCAGTGGGGTCGAAGTGGGGCCGACGGGGCCTTAGCGGGGCCGTGGCGGGGCCGACGGGGCCTAAGCGGGGCCAACGGGGCCGTAGCGGGGCCAACGGTGGGCGGCTCGAGGGGCAGTAAGGGCAGCCAAAAGGCGTCTCGGGGCGCTACTCGGGTTAGGACGTAAGCGCGCTCCGGGCAGAGGAGAAATAAGTAGGTGGTGGGCCCTAGGCAGTATTCCCACTCGGGAACCTGCTCTGATACCATGACGAGAAGTGAGAATGGATGAATGAACTCTGAAAGAGTTGGGTACAAGTACTAACCCTAATTGGGTTGTACCCCATATGGGCTACCCCACTACAGCCTACACAAATGTATAAGCTATAATGTTGTGACAATACATACACACACACATATATATACATATATATAGTTTGACTTCGACAGCTAACCAAAAACCAGACTTTTTAGTTTGATTGGTTAGACAAGGTTTCAGAAAATATCTGATGCACCAGAAATGGGAAAATTAAAAATTTTGATTCATAAGACGGGGACCCTGCTGACGACGCGGTGAAACTCTATCAGCAATGTAATTTTTTTCGTATGGTGGAGGCCCTTATCACTAATCATACATGACTGTATGTAGGCCCTGTTGACTGGCGCATCAGGCCAGGCTCGGGTACCGGCAACAGTAAAGTGTGCTCCCTCGAAGCTTCTGAGATAAGTGGACAAGTGATGACTCGGGTCTGGGATTAGCTGACTCGGGTCTGGGATAGGCGCATGAGCACCGAAGCGAACTGGTGCATGATGCCAGCCGAACACCCTTTTTGGCCCCAGGTTCGGGAACCGAATGTGCGTTCCCGGAAACCTCCTCTCCTGGCAAACCGACGCACCATTGATGCGCGCATGGTGCATCCGTGGAGAGCTAGCACCATGCGCGCACCAGCTGATGTGGGGCAGCATAAGGTGTCCGCCAAGAATCATCCAGCGAGCTTTTCCCCGCACAAATGAACACCCCCTCCTCAAAAACGTTTTGTCCCTTCCCTGCAAGCGTGGGGGCAGCCCTGACATATGTGAGGCAAAACAGCAGGAAACGCAACATACCTTCCGCGAGTTTGTCAAACTTGATAGACCAATTGGACTGTTTTGACAACCCCAAACCACTACCTCTCGTTTCAGCACCACACCCGAACCTGAGCTGGTACCCGAGCACCACATCCGAGCCTGAACTGGTACCGGAGCCTCACCACTGATGCACCACGGTATATCTGTGAGAGATTTTCTCCAGACCCGGAAACGGTGATTTGCCGTTGCACACGTAGGCTCAATTTGCTAGCGTGGTCGGACAATTTGATGATAATTGCTCGAGTGGTCTTGCCAGAGGTTTCCTCTGGCTTTTTTTTTATCCGGCACATTACCCAAAACCGGTTTTTAGCCCTGCTTTTCTTACGTCGTTCGTGTCTCTTCCCGCAAAAACGTGGCGTGTGTTTTTCCGCCCGATTTTTTCGGTTGGGTGACGTGCGCGAGGGCGGCCACGTCATCGTTCTATTATACGACAATAATCAACATGATCATATTGGGCGAACAATCGCGCTCATTTTCGGTCCAATTCTTGACCAATCCGCGCATAGAGATATGAATCCCCGATCATATACTCAGTTGCACGACTGTCCACACGCGCGACCAATTACAGAGCGCGTGTGATTGGTCGACTTTATGCGCAAAGTACTTTTTTACCTTGCGCGTCCAATCAGGCGCGGTCATGTAAGATCGCGCTCATATAAAACCGCGCATTTACCTATATGAGCGCGCATATGTGGTGCTCGAATGTATGTGCGATCTGTTTTATTAATAAACAACTATATTAATAGAATCGAGAGACGTTCACTACCGGTGTTTTGCCATTGTATCTTTATAACACTGTGCGGTCCGTTCATTTAGCAATCATAGGGTTTATTGTATCTGTAGACATGTCGACCTCTACGCATGCCTACAATGATATTACGTAGATTTGATGTGTACTGAGCACGCAATATCATTGTTGACCATACGTCTCATCAGTTATTGTGCAGAAAGACATCGATTATGTCGTCCGCCGCCCCTGCACAGGTTTAGCAAACAAGTTCATTAGATGAATGCAGGGTTTAATGAAACTACAGCATATGAATAAGCACTAATATATTGGTGTGTGTACCTTTTGTACCACTGGTGAGTTTAAACATATATTCCATTTCCAGTAGCGCGATCTCATATGGGCGTGACCCTATATGAGCGCGCCTGATTGGACGCGCAAGATCAGAAAAGGGCCCGCGCATAGAGTCGACCAATCACACGCGCTCTGTAATTGGTCGCGCGTGTGGACAATCGTGCAATTGAGTATATGATCGGAGATTCATATCTCTATGCGCGGATTGGTCAATAATTGGACCGAAAATGAGCGCGACTGTTCGCCGAACATGATCGTGTTGATTATTGTCGTGTATTCGAACGGTGACGTGGCCGCCCTCGCGCACGTCACCCAGCCGAAAAAATCGGGCGGAAAAACGCACGCCACGTTTTTGCGGGAAGAGACACGAACGACGTAAGAAAAGCAGGGCTAAAAACCGGTTTTGGGTAATGTGCCGGATAAAAAAAAAGCCAGAGGAAACCTCTGGCAAGACCACTCGAGCAATTATCATCAAATTGTCCGACCACGCTAGCAAATTGAGCCTACGTGTGCAACGGCAAATCACCGTTTCCGGGTCTGGAGAAAATCTCTCTATATCTGTGCGCTTTTATGCATTCTTTCCAGTTCAACTGAAGTCAGTGAACTTCGTACATTTCGTTAGGTGTTCGTGTGAACGAGGTCAATGGCTGCTCACTTTTCTAAGGGCGCGCGTCTTTTGATGTAGATTGTCAAAGTTCGAGCCTCGTACCGCTTTGTAACGTGACAAAGCGTTCTTCAAGTGTATCCTACCGTGCACAACCTTTCTAGAAGTTCGAACTTTGGCAAAAGTTTGACCTCAAGGACACGCGCCCTAATTTCCAGCACGACATCGAGTTTATCACGTCGCCATCAGCGCAGACATGCGACGCGCCCCGCCAGTACCACGACGAGTTTACTATTTCCCGTCAGCTTTGCGCTTTCGCACTAGTCGCGCACCAATCAGTTCTGGCTCTCTGTGCTCGAATCTTGCCACGCCTACTTCGCCACTCGGGTCGTCCCTTTCTTCGCACCCTCCCGCTCACTTTTGCCTCCCTTCCCTTCCCCTCCTCCCTAAGTGCGGATCAGAATTCTTTCGTTCACATACCATGGTACACTGTTTGGGTCGGTGAGTAGCGTTTTAAAGCGGTGAGAACCAACCGATCTAGATTGTGCAATATCGTACTTCACCGCTATTTGCTGCATCCCCTCAACTACCCCTGCTACCGCCCATCCCACCAGTTTATAACACTACTCCACCCAACAATCACTGCAAATGGTTGCTGCATCCTTACAGCTACATTGAACCTCACCACTGGCCTGTAGTAGTGAACTAGTAGGAAAATGAGTGAGCATATGCCATTAACGAGCACGCCTTCCCTGAAGGAAGGATCGTACTCCCCTCCAAGTTGTACCCATCTCTTCGAGCACGCGCAGGCAGCTGAACGCGCGGGGAACCTTTCCGAGCACGCGGAGCACTGGCCGCACGACGGCGACGTCAAGATGACCGTTCCCGAGCACCTCGTGTCGCACACCGCATCCGATGATGATTTCCCTCGCAATTCGTCAAACTTGAAGCCCGAACCGCAGGAGGAGCGCGCTGAGGCTCGTAAATCCGCGGCGCACGCCGTCTCTCAGCAAAGCGTCGACTATCCAGCAGCTGGCGGCGACTGGAACGAGTTCGACACATCGCCCGCCATTTTCAATTTCCAAGAGCGCCCCGTGCGCGACGCGGGATGGCTGTTGGTGGTGGCTGTGGCACTGGTCGTTCTCGTGGGCGCAGCCGCCTTCGCCTTCGACCCCTCCATCCGCCTCGGAGATGCCCTCACTTTCCTCCTCGTCTATCCGTTCGCTTTTCTCCTCCTCTTCGCCTTGAGCCTCCCCCTCACCCTGTTGCTCGTCTCGTATCTTCGCAAAATCTCCGCGCACACCTTGAAGACTCTCATGACACTCGCTGCCGTGATCTTCGTTCTGCAAAGCGTCAGCTCCGCCGTGAACCTCCTCGCATCGCAACATGCGGACGAAGGAGGCCCGTCGCTGCAGGCGTATGATGCGTCGTATTTCGGGGGAAACACTGGCTCCAACGGCCCAGGCGACGACGCGGCCACCGACTTTTGGGAACGAGGGGGGAATGATGGCATTAGGCATGGAACTTCCATGGAAGGAGGTATGGAAGGAAGTACGGAAGAAGGCATGGAAGGGGGTATGGGCACGGAAGGGGGCATGGAAGGGGGCATGGAAGAGGGCATAGAAGGAAGTATGGAAGGAGGTATGGAAGGAGGTATGGAAGGAGGTATGGAAGGAAGTATGGAGGGAGGTATCGAAGGAGGTATGGAAGGAGGTATGGAAGGAGATATGGAAGGAGGTATGGACGCGGCAGCAGAGGCTGACAGCAGCAGCAGTGCGTCTAGTGGCAGCAGCAGCACTGCAGCATCAAGTGACCTCGGCAGGGGCCTCCTCGAGCTTGCGCTGCCCGCCGTTGCACATGATCCTGTAGTAACCGTTGCTGCACGCCACGCCGCCCACTGGGTGCGCGCCGTCCACTCTGCCCTCCACTCCGCGGCCGGGAAAAATGTGCACGGGAGGTTCTTGAAAAGTGACGATCGGTTTTTCTCGCTGCTTGAAAGCTACATCAACATCGTCGAGTTTGTGTTTTCGGCACTTCTCAGTGCTGCCACAGTGCTCCTTGTTGCACGCTACAGCCAGCACCTGCCGCTCGCTGCCTCCGCCATCGCACACGCAGCCCACGCAGCCATCGCCAGGGCCCCTATCATCCTCTTTATGCCGTTCCTCATTTTAATTGCACCTTCGTTCATGGCCCTGCCTTTGATGTTTTGCATTCAATCTAGTTCCAACCGCGTCCTCCCGCGCCTGCTGCTACTCTCCTGCCTCTTCCTCGGCCAAGTGCTCTCAGCTATCCTCACATACTCCACAGCCGCTGTCTATGCACGCCTGTACGTCACGAGCAGCACCAACAGCGGCAGCAGCAGCAGCGAGGGTGGGCAGGCGGGTGGAGGGGAAGAGCGCATGACAGCGTGGGGCCAGCTGCAGCTGTTCTGCTCGGCACTCAGCCTCGCATGCACCTCATCCCTTGGCACCTGCTGTGCCGTTGCTTTCACTGCAAGCGCTCTCGGCATTGCGGTGATGTGCCTGTCCGCCCTCGTCCTGGCGCTCTTTGGCCAAGGCATCATAGGCAGCTTGCCTGTGGCGCTGCTTCACTGCACAAATCTCGCCATCCTCTTCTTCCTCCACTGCCTTGTGCTCCCCACCACTGCAATGAGCGGCCATGGCTTCACCCGCTCACTGCGCCTCTCTCTCGACATCCTACAGCGCTATGCATTGCCCATTGTGGCATCCAATGCTGCTGCCTTCGCCCTCCCTTCCATGCTCATAGGCGGGCTGGGCATGATAGCTCCAATCGTCGCGCTTTTTGTGGTGAGTAAGCTGTGTTGCTGCATGCTTCCGCTGTGTGCTTGCATGATTCACTGCAATGCGTCCTGCATACAGCACGTTGACTCCCCTCCTCACAAAGGCACATTCACAGCATCCACATTCAAGGCGTGTTCTCACTTGAGTTCCCCATCGTGTCTATTATCTTGCAGGGACCTGGCCTAGTGACTCCATTGATTATCGCTTTCTTCTTGTGGATCCTCGGAGCACCTGTTCTTCTCGCCGCTGTAGGAATCTCCTCCGTCCTGATTACAGGGGTGGCTACCACAGTGCTGTGTTTTGCATGGGACAAGAGGCTCGAGTCAGAAGAGGGGTCTGATGCTGCGGGCCTGGTGGGTGCCGGTTCTCCTCCCTCTGCTCATGTGAAGGATGTTACTGCGGTGTAGAAGGGTGGGTGGGTGGGTGCGTGCGTGTGTGCATGCATGCTCGCGCGCGTGCATGTGCATGTGTGTGTTTGTGATTGTACATGGTACAATACAAGCAGAAATTCAGCATTTTGTACCATGAGACATCTGGTAGCAATAGCAATTGGTTACAATGGTGCATTTATGTGGCAGCAGAGAGATCGTTGTTGCTCTGGACGTGTAGAAGTTGGGGCATATGGTGTTGTCAAGGCTGTTCACGGCCTCTAGAGTTGTGACTCCTGGTGGAGCAAGAAGGGTATTGCCACTTGCAATGCAAGGGAGGACGAGGGTTAAATGCAGATGCCAATAAGGAGGGCATGCAACGCAAAGGTGTTGGACAGAAATGCGTCTCCTTGCCTCGTCCTTTCAGTACAAGGGTACCCTATGGTACAGGAGAGGTGCTCTTTTGTTGCTCGGCGTTGGGATGTGCGACGGTGGGACTCACCTTGAATTCAACTCTTCTTTTACGATAACCGCTTTCCCATTAAAGAGTTGCCACGATATCACAACAGTTTAGCGGCCAATCATGGTCTTTTGAACTTCACACAACATAACAGCATACAGTCTACAGCCTCGTGCGGTTCACACTCCCTCCCAGCCTTGAAAGATTAACGGTGCCCCTTGGTCAGAAGACATCGGAGCCAAACAAGTCCATGACGTCATCGGATACACCGTCAAGTGCATCGAAGGTCAGCAACTCCACAGCCGGCCCACTTCCTCTGCCATCACTTCCCTGCTCTTCTACTCGCCTCTCCGTGCTCCTGCCTCTCTCCACACCAGCAGCAGCAGCTCCTCTCAACACTGCATGCTCCTCCTCCTCACATTCCTCTTCCTCTTTGCTTCCTCCTGCTGCTTGCCTGTTGTGCTGAGCTCCTCCCGGGCCTGCCAGCCCCGTGCCCCGAGCAAGAGCACCTTGTACAGGAGTCTCTGTGCTGCCAGGGGAGCCAGTGGACTCATGGTACACGAACGTCACCCCCTCACACATGCCCACCACTTCCCTCAGCGGCCCATCTGCAATGCGTGCTGCCAACCCGCCCCTCCCACCGCCTGTATCTGCCCCGGCAGCGAAAGAACTGACGCTAGAGGAGCCAGAAATGGTGCTCGCAGCAGGTGCAGCAGAGCTGGTGGCGGCAGCAGAAAGCCATTTGGCGGAAAGAGGGGAGTTGGAGCGAAGTAGCAGGTCCAGCGTGTCACATGCAGTGGCCTGCAGCACACGGCACAGCCATACGGGAGGGGCACAAGAGAAGAGCTCTGACGTGCTGCCATGCATGTGACGTCCGCCCTGTTGCCTGTGAAGTGCTGAATGCACCTGAGAAAGGCAACTCCAGAGCAATGGGGTTGGATACGTCACTCCCACCTGCTCCAGGGTGAACAGCTCGCGCAGCTCTTCCTTGGTGAAGTGCCCCGCCCCACCCTTGTTGCTGCCACTGCCACCGCCCCCCCTGGCGCCACTGCTGTTGCCCGGCGGTGCGCTCCCATCGCCCACAGCGCTGGCCACCTCGCCCTTCATGAGCTGGCGCTGGAAGATCTTCTCCTCGATGCTGCCATCATGTCACACGTGCAACAAATGAGCATGTGCCGCACATTTCGCCTGGGTCTGAACTGAACGCTGGGACGTACATGTGGTGTTGGGCCCATGAAGGGAACGCATAATTCTAGGTTGTGCACATGCCTCATATGCCTAATCTGCCTCTCACACTCCATACCCCACCCCGCTTCCACCTCCTTCCTCTCCACGTCGCCTCTCACCAGTCCATGAGAGACATCCGCACGCCTTCATGCTTGCTCTCACCACTACTCGTCTCCTCTCAACCGGCCCTCGCTGCTGCTTGTCTCTCAACCATAACGCCCATCCACACTCTAATCTACTGTGACCTGCACAAAATAAACTCCCCTGCCTGTCCCAATGGCCCTACGACTGCCCTGGCAGGTCTGAGCTTGCTGTGGCCTCGTATTGTGGGCGCATGCAGGGAATGGCGCAGCGACATACGCCCCAGGTTGTGCACATGCCTCATATGCCTCGTCTGCACACACACTCCATACATACACCACCCTCGCTTCCACCTCCTTCCTCTCCACCTAACCTCTCGCCAGTCCATGAGACACATCCACACAGCCTCACACCTTTTCACTCTCTCCTCATGCCTGCTCCCACCACTCCTCGCCCTCTCAACCGCCCCTCGCTGCCGCTTGTCTCTCCACCGTCAGCGCCCATCACTTAGTACATCCCATGTCCGCACTGTAATCCACCGGGACCTGCACAGAATAACCCCCCCTGCCGCCCCAATAGCCCTGCGACCGCCCTGGCAGGCCTGAGCTGACTGTGGCCTCGTATTGTGGGCGCCGCTCTCACCTGCCTCTCACCTGCCTCTCACCTGCCTCTCACCTGCCTCTCACCTGCCCGTGGCGAGCATGCGGTAGATCACCACTGGCTTGCTCTGTCCATCCCTCCACACGCGCGCCATGGCCTGCACGCATGGGAAGGGATACAGGGGACATGCCCAGACATCAGCATGCATGTGTGTGTGTGTGCGCGCGTGCGCTCGCGCTCACATGTGTCTATGTGCCATCTGGGATTTCAAAACCAGCCACCATTACCTTCACATACAGTCATGCATGTTCTCAGGCAACGGTTAAGTCATAGCCTTCAAAAACGCACTTCCTCACACACCAACCCCCAGCACTACACCCCTCCCATACTTCTCCCCACATCTACTACGACCAAGCCACGGTGAGTTACCCAATGCTCATCCCCTCCCTCTCATCCTCCCTCCCCACCCTTTCCCCGCCCCCCGCTGTGAGCTTGCACCTGGTGGTCGTTGGCGGGGTTCCAGTCGGGGTCGAAGAGCACCAGGCGGTTCGCGCCCACCAGGTTCAGCCCCGCCCCGCCCGCCTTGGACGACAGCAGGAAGCAGCAGCTGCCGTCGCGCCCCGTGTTGAACGCACACACCAGCGCCTGCCGTGCCACTGCCTCTGTGCTGCCGTCCAGGCGAGTAGTCTTCCACCCGTGCGACTCACACATGGCCTGGCGCAGTGCCGTGGGGTGGTGGGAGGGCAGCGGTATGAGATGTTGTGAGGGAAGGCAGCAGTGTATGGACGCACATGATTGCAAGGCGGCTGGTGCGGCTGAGAGTGTGTGGTGCCTCTCAGCGAGAGACCCCTGCATGGCACTGCATGATGGTCACTAGTGTTGAGTGGGTGCAATGATAGGTGCAACCACATTTCAACGCCACCCCCTGCATGCCGCACCTTGCCTGCATGCCCCGTAGCTGCTTTCCACACATGTACCACTCACTCACCTCGATCACATCCAGTGCCCGTGTGAAGTTTGACACGATCACCACTTTATCCCCACTGCCAGCGTCAGCAGCAGTAGCAGTGTGGTGCGCCCGCGTGCCATCACTGCTGCCATCCGTGATGCTCGACTGCACACTGCCCTCGCCCCCACCCGCCCCTGCGCCCCCTCCCAGTATGGCTTGCACCAGCAGCGCCAGCACGTGCAGCTTGCCGCTCAGCCGCCATGCATCAGCGCCCAGCGCCTTGAGCGCCGCTGCAAACGCCGCCACTGCTGCTGTGCGCGACAGGGGCGCGACCTGTCCGGATGGGGACGCCTGTGGGAGCATGGATGGGCGCCTGGTGGGGTGAGGGGGAGGGAGGGTGAGGAGGGAGGATTGCGAGAGAAACACGGGATTAACGTGCTTGTAGTTACCGTGAACCTGACAGCAAGTGCGGTTACTATCCGTGGGATGTGCTTGGTTTGGGATGGGCCTGATGAGGGGACCTCTCACCTGAACATATTGCGTTTCTGCGCTGCCTCATTTGCTGCAACCCCTCCTGCCATGCCTCCCTCACATCCCCCCACCTCCCCTCCATCTGCTCCCCAGTCTGCATTCTCCTGCTCCTCCTCTGCCACCTCCTCTTGCTCCTCGTCCCCCGCCCATCCCTCCTCGTCTCCCCCTTCCTCTCCCCCAGCAGCGGAGGTGGAGGCAGCAGGGGAGGGGGAGCGCGGGCGGGGGGAGGAGGGCGTGGGGGCGGCAGCGAGGGCGGGGTGCAGGCAGAGCTTCCTGAGGTGGCAGATGGCCGTCAGCGCACTGGCTGTGGTGCCGGGCGCCATGGCGTACAGCAGCGACCGCACGTGCTGCCATGCACAAGGGGGGGGGAGAGCGGGGGGTGTGGAAGGTGGAAGAGATGCAGGCACCCGGGAGGGAAGGGACAGAAGCGGAGAGTACATGTGCTGCAAGGGATGGCGGTAGAAAAAAGGGGCGAGAGGGTGTGGTGTCCTGAAGGAAAAGGCAAGTAGAGGAGTGATAATAGGTGGTGGGGGAGACAGGGCTACATCCATGCGGCATGCACGCCACATGCCATGCGCCACACGAATTGGAAGACAGAGCTGTTGAGTGTGGCGAGCAGTGGTGAATGGAAGGGGCGAGGCACGGCACGTACGGTGGAGCGCAGGAAGTCAGAGTACTGGCGCGCCTGCTGTGCGTGCAGACGACAGAACACTATGTACCTGGGCATGCATGGGCATGTGGAAGCGTGGAACAGAGAGGAGAGAGGACGGAGGTGGAAAGGAGGAGGGGAGAGGACATGGGTGGAAAAGACAACGTATGAGACGCTTAGAGAGTGGGAATGTTTGGGACTCTAGACTGTGTGGAAAAGTGAGTACTGCAGAACAGAGCAGCTCTAGGGAAGGCAGGTTGAGCAAGAGAAGAACGAGAAGGGAATGAGTGCTGACTCTGATTTGGGTGGCAGGTAGGCGGCATTGACTGCAGCAGTGCGGCGCAGCACAAAGGCTGCTGCCTTGGCCTGCAGCTCCTGTGACCTCGCCTCCCCCACCTGCACCTCCTCCTCCCTGCACGTGTGCGCGTGCATGGGACGGAGGGAGGGAGGCAGGAAGGGAGAGAGGAAAACACGGAGGGATGGAGGGACGGAATGAGAGATGGGATAGTAGGAAGTGGGGAGAAGTGGCAATGCGAGGCATCCGCCAGAGATGGAGGTCGAGCACGTGCATGTGAGAATGTGCCCTGCATGCCACTTCGTAGCTGCAACTCCTCCTCCCTGCACAACGCTCAAAGCGCCTCCCTTCATCCGCATGCCTCTCGCAGACTCTCACTTACGGCCCTCCCCTCCCCTCACAGCTACTCCAGATGAGAGAGCAAGGTGGCAAGGTGCAGGAGGCCACGGGTGGCAGTGACATGTGGTGCTCAAGCGCAAGGCACGTGCCCTCGCGGGCGAGGGCGTGCCCTGACAGCGGTGTGTGGCAGTGCCACTCACGTGGCGCTGCGGTCGCGGCTCTTCTGAATGGGGTCGGCGAAGATGCGGCGGAAGGCAGGCAGGGGGCCCAGGCAGCCCGGGTTGACCAGATCCAGCAATGCAAAGAACTCACTCAGATCGTTCTGCATGGGTGTGCCCGTCTGGTGGGGGTCAGGGGAGAGTCAGAGTGCATGAAGGGGAGCAAGGTGGGGGTGGGAGAGGCAGGGAGAGATAGACGGGGAAGGATGGCGGGTGTGGTGTAGTGTAGCAGAGGTGGAAGGGCGCTGTGTTGGCTATGAGTGAGTGTGCTGATGTGCATGAAGAGAGAATGGGCGAGGGTGGAGCGCAACAGAAGGAGGACAAATGGGGTTCACGGAGATAGGGCAGGTGTGGGTGGGAAGATGAGAAGAATTTGAGGTGATTCCGCACGAATGCCATGTCATGGAGCCCAGGGCCGGTGGGGGAGGGGGGTAAGGGAGAGGACAGGGAGAGAGATAGGCCAGACGTATATGGAGACAAGGGGGCTGGGGTGCATGGGGGCATAACGTTGTGAGATGCTGTCGTGCAGGGATGGAAGAAAACGGGGAGTTGAAAGCGCAAACAGTTGATGCAACGCTTGCAGCATATGTGTGGTTGGACTCACCAGCAGCACCTTGCGCGGGCACCCCAGCTGGTGCAGGGCCGAAATGGTTTTGTTGCCCGCACTGCAGGGAGGGCGACACAGGGATGAATGTCAAGCTTCACAGATAGGCAACACAGTTACATGGTTGTAGCAAGGAAAAGCTTCCACCCATTTCCTATGAATCAACGTTCTCCATCATCCTTGTCTCACAAGACAGCGCACGAGCCACTTGGCCTGAGCACGGCTGCGTGTGTGGCATGAGCATTCCCACTAGGGTGCCACGGCACAACCGCACACCTGCACCCCCCATTGACGCACCTCTCCCAATCATGCACCTCCCCCCATGCACGCACCACCCCCCATGCACCACCCTGTGCTGACCAGTTCTTGAGGCGGTGGCCCTCGTCGCACACGAGGAGCTGAGGGGCGGCAGCAGCGAGGAGCAGTGCATGGCGGCGCAGCAGGTCGTAGGAGGTTATGAGCACCGGCCACACCACTGCATGGTTGAAGTCCGCCATCTTGCCCCTCACCTGATGCCACGCACGCATGCATGCATGCATGCACACACACGCACACATTCACAGACACATGCACAGATGCACGCACCCACGCACGCACGTGCCCGTGCAAGCACACACGCACGCACGCGCCCGTGCACGCACACACACATGCACACATACACACACGCACGCACACACACATGCACACATACACACACGCACGCATGCACAGATGCACACACGCACGCACACACACAAACAAGGTATACCCCATCCCTGAATCTGTATGCCTGCCGTGTATTTGCTTTTCCTCCATCTGCATTTCACTGCTGGCGCTCGTCCAGACTGTACCACACACGCCATGCCATGCGCGTGCACAAGCAGCACACGTCGTCTCTCATGCTCACACCAAGACCCGAGGCGCTCACACCAAGACCCGAGGCGCTCACACCAAGACCCGAGGCGCTCACACCAAGACCCGAGGCGCTCACTCTTCCCACCCTCTCACCCTACCAACCAACCCTGCACCAGCAATCCGCCCCACCTCATTCCGTTGCTGCATCATTACCCTTGCTCACCACTCCCCTCTCCACTGCAAACACACAAGGGCCTGTGAGTGCGCAGCATTGCCGCGCACGCACATGTGCCCCGCATACCTCGGTGGGTGTGAAGCTGGAGTTCACCACCATGGCCTTGAGCCGCTCCGTGCCCAGCCACTTGCGGAACTGGTGCGCACACAGTGGCGAGGAAGGGGGAGTAAGATGTGGTGTGTGGGGGGGAGAAAGGGAGAACGTGGAAAGAGAATGTGGACAGTGATGGTGTTGGAGTGGCCGCGTGTGATGGAGGGCGGGAGCAAGAAAGATTGGAAGGCAATAAGAGCAGTGAGAGCGGCATGTCATGTGGTGCAGCCCGTGTGTCCCCCACACACACAGTACCTCGGCGCCCCAGTTGTCAACAAGCGAGGACGGGCACACCACCACTGCCTTGCGCAGGAAGGGGCGACCCTGGGGGCCCTGCAGGGGGGACGGAGGGGAAGGGACGCCGGAAAACAGACAGGGGAGTAGAGGGATGGGAATAACTTGCATCACAGTGGTGAGCAAGGGGCGAGGGAGAGAAGGAGTCAGCGTAGAAGAGGCGGGGTGCAGCACAAGCACAATGCCGTGACGAGAGAGACGCACACCTACCTGCTTGAGAAGAGTCCAGATGAGCGCTATCACTTGAAGGGTCTTGCCAAGGCCTGTGCAAGAGAGGTGGGGGGAGATGCAGAGTGTGTGTGCAGTCACACGTGGGGCACCCCTCAGGTGCTGCTTCTTGCAGGCCAAGGGAAACAACACAGCAGCAGCAGTAGGTGCTTCAGGAAGCAGAAAGCACCGCAGCTAGGTACCGCACAACCTGTTTGCCAATGCGAATTCTGACAGGAATATATCAACCGCATTCTCTTCTCTCACACTTTTCCATTATCTTTATCTGACTTCCCTAGCCCTAAAGCCCACTCCCTCTGCCACCCCGCCGTTTTCAACTGCCAGACTATCATCTCCCAACGCTCTCTTTTTTCCAGCCAGCTATATCGTTTCACTTGCCACCTCACCCAATTCACCTGACAACTCACCCATTTCATCTGCCAGCTCACCCATTCCATCTGCCAGCTCACCCATTCCATCTGCCAGCTCACCCATTTCATCTGCCAGCTCACCCATTCCATCTGCCAGCTCGCCCATTCCATCTGCCAGCTTGACCATTCCATCTGCCAGCTCACCCATTTCATCTGCCAGCTCACCCATGTCATCTGCCAGCACGCATCCGGAGCAGCCGGGCGTGCGCACCTCCAGCACGGCCTCGAGCATGAAGCGCACTCCCTCCACCTGGTGGGGGCGCATCCTTGCACCGATGTACTGCCACGGAGGACGCGGTGGGGTGTGAGGAGGAAGGGGGAGAATGTAGAGTGGGTGTAACTCAGCACAACCCCCACCGAAAGCGTGTGCCCTCTGTCAACTCGGGAGTTGAGCAAGTGGTGCTTCAGAGTAACGGACAGATAGTGGGGAGAGGCAGAACACAAGGGCTTCTGCTGAGATGGGTACGAGAAGGCCACATGAGTAGCAGGCGATTAGCTGAATGCAGTCGTTTCTGAACCTCTAGGCACAGCACAGTGCGTCGCAGCACAGTGAAGTGGAAGGACATGAACGCTGAATGACCCATGAGCAGCACGAGCCAACATGGCGGAGATGGGCTCACCGGGTCAAGGTGGATCTTCGAGATTCCCTTGCCGTGCTGGTTGGGGTTGAGACACACCGCATCCTGTAGCCACAACATCACGCGACACATGCACGAGCAGGACAGCTGCATTTGAGAGAGCACCGCACGGATAAGGTAGGCGAGAATGCATTGCGAGCACAAGAGCTACATCTGATTGCAGTTCATGGGTCCCTTTGCCACGTCATACATCAGTGCCATAGCATGACCCATTGCCACACGGTGAACTGTCCTGTCCTGCCATGCCATTCCTTTCGTCCCACCCCACGGCCATACCTCGTTGCCAAGTCTCATACGACTCTCCTTGCTTGCAGCTCTCCTGTAGAGGCGGCACGAGGGCAGGGAGAAAGAGCGAGGGCGCACATAAGTTTCAGCGCACTGGCCGCTGCAGCAGCCCATCGACTCGCAAACGCGAGAAGGGTGGACGGACGGGTGGTGACGAATATCTGACGCCTAGCAAACGCGTGTGCTGCAAATCCTGACAGCATAAATGCGAGCGAAGCACGTCGTGAACATCTAGGAGGATGCATCTCACACGCAGCACCAAAGACTCACACCCCTCATGTGCCCTCCCTCGCTGGTGCGCGTGTGTGAACCACATTCCATTCCTCCACGTCACCTCGTCGGATCTGCTCCACCAATGGCCCCTCCGCACCACACTCACTTGTTCGCCAGCACCCCTTCCGCGCTGCTGCCAGCCGCCCTGCCACTGCTGCTCTCGCCCGCCCGCTTCCTGCCCTTGCCAGCAACACCACTGCCTGCTCGACCCGTGGCAGCGGCGGATGTGACAGCAGCGGCAGCAGCAACGGCGGCGGCGGCAGGGATGAAGAAGGAGCCGGCGAGGTACTGCTCGCGCGGCACCTCGTGCATCACCTCCACCTCCCACTTGCCCACCTGAGCAGGGGCCAGGGGGAACGGGGGGGGGGATTAGAGGGAGGAGATAGATGGCGAGAGCCAGCAACAATGGCATGGACGCAAAGAGGATGAAGTGCGAAGAGGGGATGCAAGTGGAGAGGCATGGCGTACTCGGGGACGAACAGGGTATGAATCCTTGGCGATGGGGCGCGGTACCGTGTACAACGACAGTGCTCAAGGCACCTGCGCCGTGAACGTGCACGACTGCTGCTCAACGGTACAGTGAGAACATCGTTGCGCGTGCCATCATAGTGACTCGCATGGCACTTGCAAGACATGGGAAAACGGCACGCAAGACCAGACATTGAGGCCTGAGAAGATGACAACATCAACTTACAAGCCACCCGTTCCTAACCATCTCACCAACATCGCCGCAGACATCCTCGCCACCACGCGCCCTGCTAACAGCAGATCGGCACCAGTCGCGTGGGTGCACGCATGCGTGCGTGCGGCGTGTGCGGGTACCTCGAGCGTGGAGCCCTCTTTCAGGTTCGCGCAGCCGCTGACGGAGGCCTTGGCGACGATCTTGGCGTCCATGTTCTGCACGGCGCACGCGCGCCCCTTCACGCTCAGCAGCCCGTCCGACCACGGCCCCTTGCGCTTCGCGTGCGGCTTGCGCGGGCAGTACATCACGCTGTAGTACCGCGTCTCGTCCGCCGCCGCCTCCGCCGCCGCCGCGCCCGGCGCGCGTTTCGCGTTGCACGTCGCTGCGGCTGCCGGCGCGGGCGCATTGAATCGCGCGCGGGGATTCGCGGTGGAGCCAGGAGCCGGGTGCAGCGGCGGCTGTCGCGGCAGCGCGGGGCCAGCGGGGTTGAGTAGGTGCAATGGCTTGAAGGGTTTGCGCTTCAAGGGAGCAGCCGTGCGGGTGGGAACCGCGGGCCCCGCTTCGTCGTCGCTCCCCATGGCGTTACGGTGACGGGAATGCAGACTAGATGCTCTGGTGACGGGAATCGCGACGAGAGGCTACCCGGGCTGCTGATCCTATGCACGGGAAACTTGATCGACGCTGGTTGGAATGAGTGACGGATATGCCTGGTAGGCTCTGGGCTGCTAAGCTGGTACCACAATGGGTGTGACATGATTCCTGGTGGGCGACCTAGAGAGTGCCAGCGCTGCCTCGCACTCCGGGGCAGGGAGGAGATGAGGCAGCCTCTGCGGGCGGTTCCTAAGCTCCTCGGGAACTGCATTTCCAGCACTCTCGCAATCCCGATGCTCTGCGGCTCCTTGAAAAGTGTCTGATTTCTGCTCTGCCAAGCTCGATGGATGAAGTGCTGATTTGAGAAACCGTGGAAATGGCGGGAAAGGCGGGAGTCGTGCTCGTGACGCTTGAATGCCAATAAACCAACCTCGAATTTTGTCATACACTGACTCGCGTTTCATTCTTCACCAGTGTAATGGGAACTTCTCTGCGGTAGATATATCCGAATAGGAATACCGTACACATACTAAGAGTAAGGACAAGGTACGAAATTACAACCTTGAGCTTTGTGACCTTCAGGTTCAAGTGAGTGACCCAAGGGACGTTAGCTGTTTTGCGAATCTTCACACTTCACTCGATTCAACGCATCAAGGACCTACTTTAGCCTTATTTACTACTGAATATGGAATGCGAGTGTTGAGCTCAATCTCACTCCACTGCTTGCACACAACGTGCGTGCCTTGCTCAGAGCGTGTTCCTACAGCCTCACATCAGGAAACCTCGTATCAAGAATGCTGTTATTGCCTGGTAAAACTAGCGAGAGATTTTGGGTTTAGGGGAATTTTCAGTGTGAGCCTGATACGAGGTTAGGAACACGCTCTCACTCCGCAAGCGGCTCATACCAGTCGCGAGTGAGCCCGGCTTTAGCGCGTGCCTCGTGGTTGAAGGGCGGCTTGAGCTTGCCACGGAAGTGCTGCCGCACAATGCCATGGAACTCTGCCACGATCGCTGCATGCTCCTCTGCACTCGCCTCCTCTCCCTCCATACCCTGCTCTGCCGCACCACCTACACCCTCACTCCCTGCCGCGCCTTCTCTTTCAGCCCTTACCTTGCCCTTCTCACCGCACCCCTCCCCATTCCCATCCCCACCACCATCCACTGCTCCAGTGCCTGTTGCCGCCTCACCCACCAATGCCTCCGCCTGTAAACCCCCCCCTGCACCTACGCCCCCACCTGCTGCTTCCTCCCTACCTTCTCCTCCCCCCGCCTCCCCCTGGCGCGCGCGCAGGTCGCGGAGGCAGAGGAAGGAGAACCAGCGCTGGCCAGCAGCGCAGTGAGTGACCTCCTCGGGGTACACCACCTGCTCCAGCAGCTCCGCTGTCTCGCTGTCCCCCCCCGCCCTGAACCGCTCTATCGTCTGCGGCACCACGTCCAGGCCCCTCGCCTGCCAGGCATGATGAGCGACGAGGGGGTGGGCGGGTGGGAGGGTGGGTGGTGGGCAGGGGAGTACGTTGTGGGTAGGGGAAGGAGGTGCGTGGATTGACTGATGCACAGCCCGTGTGGGTGGAGGATGCGAGAGGGGGACTGAGGGATGGTGGGAGGCGAGGATAACATAGGACACATGAATGGGGTATCTTCAACGAGAGATGCACTAGCAGCATACATTGCTCATTCCAGGCGCCCGCTACCATTGTGCGGCCAAGGTGGGTTACTATCAAGGGAGGCTAATAGGGAATGCTGGGGACAAGCATGCCAGAACACCTCTCTTCCCCCTTGCTCCGACACCCCCCAACCCCACTCCATCTTCCCACGCACCCGCACCTCACCACCCCCTATCCATGGGCACACCGCCCCCCCCCCCCTGCAACCCCCTGCCCCCACTTTCCCCCCACTGCCCCCCCCTGTCCCCCCCTGCCCCCGCGTGCTTCCCCATCCCCCTCCCCCCACCTCGTGCACGCAGTGCTCGATGACGAGGCGCGCCTTGAGGTCGCCCGCGGTGGCGGCGGCGGACTCCCACAGCCCGTCGTGCGCGGGCAGCGCGCCGTACCGCGATCCCACCGCCTGCAGGCGCGCCGCCAGCAGGCGGAAGTGGCGCGCCTCGTCCTCCGCCACGCGCACGAAGTCCGAGAAGAACGCGCGCGGCATGCTATGCGCGCTGCCGAACCGTGCTATGATGTCCTGCACGCGGACGCACGGGCGCGTGGGGGGTGCGCGGGGCGAGAGGGCAGGCAGTGGGGGCGAGAAGGAGGGAGAGCGAGGAAGAGAGCGGAAGAGGGGAAGGGATGGAAAGGGAGTGGGTGCATGTAAGGGTTGATGGCGCGTGGACACGAGGCAGGGCTGCCACGCAAACACCACCTGCCATGTCGTCGGACCCTCTCACTCAAGCTGCTCCCCTCCCACCTTTCCCTCCCACTAGCGAAACCCCTCCCCTTTCCTCCCCCCCTCTTTCACCCCACTCCCACCCCCCACAGCGAGCGGGCGAGCGCGCACCCAAGCGAGGTCGACGGCCCAGCTCTCGATGTGCACCAGGCTGTGCAGCAGCGCCACGCGGCTCTGCTGCGACCCGCCCTTGCCGCGCCGTGGCATGTCGCGCGCCGCCACCACGCGCACCTGCCGCCAGGGAACCGAACGCACACGGCGCGACGCCGGGTTAGAGAACTGGGGACAGTAGCAGGTTTCGGGCTTAGGGAAGCAGCAGATGGGCCAGGAGGGCACTAGGGGTGGGGTAAACACGCGAGGGGGCAACGCGAGGAGGAGAGCACCAGAGGGGGTGCGCGGTGCTCACGGTATCGTCTCTAGCAGGGCGGTCCGGCACGCTAAGCCATTGCTCCTCCTCGCTACCCGCTGCTCCCACATCTGCATCTCCCTGTGACCCGGCGCTTCGGGATTCCTCGCTCCCGCTGCTAAGGCTCCCGTTCCGACGCGTGGCGCGATCTGCGTAAGCGTGGCGAATGGCGCCGGTGGCCCAAAGATGCGCCGCGAGGTCGCCGTACTCCGCCTTCTTCCAGGGGTCCGCCGTGCGCAGCACCTTCACCGCCGCCTCGCACAGCGTGTCGCCCGCGCATGGCGGCGGAGGAACTGGCAACGGCATACTGCGGGGGTGGCGGGAAGTAGGGCAGTGGAAGGGCCACGGCGAACTTAGAGCAAGAAATGGTTCACCAGAAGATGTTTACCTGTACCGTAGTTGTAAATGAGGGCTGTAAATTCAGATTTCCTTTGTGTACCTTGACTTTTATTAGTTGTACGAATGAAGAGTGCGCAGAATGCAATATCGCGGAAGTGATTACAACTACTGAGCAAACAACGAGGCCTAGGCATAATATAGCAAAGCTAGCTAGGCTGAGGTCGCGGAGTCGCGCGATGGTTGGGTGCAGGTTTGGGGTTGGAGAACCCGAAGGCAACGCAAAGGACGTTCGGAAGGCGAGGTCAGCGGACCAAGCCTGAACTCTGAAAAGTTGGAATTGTACGCGTACGGAGTGCCTCAGTAAGGAATTAGGAAAATTCCTTACACTACCCCCCCCCCCCCTCCCCCCCCCCTTTAAGGGCGTGTTCTGTGAAAGAAATGACCAGGAATGGGAATGACTAAGTCAGAGTTGGGTACAAATACAACCCTAGAAAGCTGTACCCCATATGTGCTACCCCACTATAGCCTACAAACATGCATCAGCTATAATAATCTGACACACCCCCATAGGCAAAGTGGGGGAGAACAAGGGGTCACAAGACCAGTCAAGCAAAGCAAAGCAGAGCAAGCTCAGGGTGGATCACAAAGTCACCACACAGTCCGAGCACAAGAGCAGGGCCAGAGGCCAGTTCACATGCAGGAGTACAGACATATATATATAAAACTAGACAAGCAGGAGAACGTATATATATGTCACAGTACAAGAAAAGTCAAGAGGAGAGCAAGTGAGGCAAGACAGGCACAAGACCCAGCTGGGTGCAAAAGCGCTGATGGTCACAAGGCGCGAGTGCCTTGGTGAACACATCAGCAGTGTTGGCCTCAGAGGCCACGTACGCAAGCCGCAACTGACCACGCTGCTGCAGCTCACGAGCAAGGAAGTAGCGGAGCGCAATGTGCTTCGTTTTGTGCTCCAAGCGCTGCTCTCGACACAAGGCCAGCATGGCCTTGTTGTCTACGTACAGCACTGGAGGAGAACGAGGCGGCTCTCCAAGGTCAGTCAGCAGGTAGGTGAGCCAGCGAAGCTCCTGTGCAGCCATGGCCCTGACGTAGATCTCAGCCTCACAACTGGAGCCGAGAACCGAAGACGAACGAGTAGACCGCCACGAGACAGAGCCGGAACCAAGACTGAAGGTGTAACCCTGTGACGACCGCTGCGTAGCCTGGTCGTCAGCCCAAGAAGCGTCCGCGTGGCCTGTAAGGACCACTGGACTCCGCCCTCCAAGCACTAGCCCCATGCCCGACGTACTGCACAGGTAGCGCAATACCCTCTTCGCTGCAGCCATGTGCTTTGGTCGGTGTCTCCCAGGAGCAACATAGCGTGCAAGAATGCTCAGAGGGTATGCAAGGCCAGGTCGAGTGCAGGTCATCAGGTACATGAGGCAGCCAACAAGCTCTGGGTACGGGCCACTCGACTCTACGGACTCATCCGAAGGCAGAGCTGAGAGCGAGTGGCGAGTAGACAGAGGAGTGGCCTGAGGCGAGGAGTACGTGAAGCCGAAGCGCTGAAGGACCTGCTGCACCATGTGTGACTGAGTCAAGGTGATGGTGCGGCGTGCTCTGTCCCGAGTGATCTGCAAGCCAAGGTAGCTGCGCAGTTCACCCAGGTCTGTGCACGTGTGTCTCTTCAGCAGCTCGGACTTCACGTAGGCGAGTCCAGCAGTGTCCGCTGTGGCAAAGACCAAGTCGTCGACGTACACGAGGATGTAGAACGGCGGCAGTGACGTGTCGGTGTGCAGAAACAGCGACGGGTCAGCAGTAGAGGGAGCAAACCCAAGAGCCGCAAGCGTAGTCCTCAGTGTGTCGTGCCACTCACGTGGCGCCTGGGGGAGACCGTAGACTGGCCGTCGGAGGCTCCACTGGGTGCCAGGAGGGAAAGTCCCAGTGAAGCCAGGTGGACGGCGCAGCCAGATCTCCTCGTGCAGGCTACCCTGCAAGAACGCAGTGCTGAAGTCGAGAGAGTGAAGCTCGTAGTCGCGCTGAGCGGCTATGTGCAGCAGCACCCGAAGAGTGGTCATCTTCGGGGTGGGAGAGAAGGTCTGAAAGTAGTCAACTCCCTGCCGCTGACTGAAGCCACGAGCAACGTACCGCGCCTTGAAGACAGGTGGAGAGCCCGGCGGCCGCTTCACCCGGAAGATCCACATGCCACTGACGATGTTCGCCCCAGGAGGGGGAACTGCGTCAACGTAGGTGCCTGTGGACTTCCAGGAAGCCATCTCTGCATCCATAGCTGCCTGCCACTGAGAGGAGTAGGGACCCTCTACGGCCTCCGCGTAAGAGCGCGGAGTCGGGATGTCTAGTGCATCCGGGTCTCCCTCAGGAGCAAGCAGTACAGACGCGAGATGAGGTGAAGCAGCAGCCAGACACTGTAACTCCTCGTGCCTGTCCTCTAGGACGTCCGTGCCAAGAGCACACTCACCCCCGACGGACGGAGGACAGACAGACGCAGACTCAGCAACAAGACTAGCAGCGTAGTCTAGACGACAGCGAGCAGCAAAGTCGACGAGCTCAGCGACAAGAGCAGACGCAGCAGTGGACTCAAACGAGGGGTCAGTGACGACAGTAGCAAGCAGACGCGTGACAGTAGGACTGGCAGCACGAAGAGAGTCCGACTCAAGGTCGGCAAGCGCAGGAAGAGAGGACTCAGGAGGAGAAGGCAAAGGGGCACGCAGAGGAGCAGTGGACGGACGCAGAGACATCCGGTGCGTGCCAGGGACAGGAGGAGGACGCTGACGCGAACCGCGACCACTAGCGCGAGCAGCACGAACAGGCGACGCGGGACGAGATGCAGGCTCACGACGCTCAGCAAGACCTCCAGTAGTACCTGTGTAAGGAGAGGGAGCAGACAGAGGAGAGGAAGGCTCCAACAGTGACTGCGACTGGACAGGCCGTGGACACTCTACCGGAGGAGAAAGACCAAGAACCTGCTGCAGGAGCGGAACGAAGTACGGCCGAGGCCGTGCGGCAGCTCCAGACTCAGCAGGGACAGCACCAGCACCCTCAGCGACAGCACCAGCGCCACCAACACCTCCAGCGGCAGGACCTCCAGCAGCACCAGCAGCAGAACCACCGCGAGGACAGACAGCAGTGGTCTCAGCACCAACACCCTCAGCAGCGCCAGCTCCAGTAGGACCCGCAGGCCCAGCAGCTCCGGGACCGGCAGCACCAGCACCCTCGACGGTCGAAGAAGCTCCAGCTCCAGCAGCACGCCTCCAGCGGCGAGCAAACCACTCGCGCAGCTCGTGTGGAGAGAGGGGCTCCCGTCGAGGCGCAGCAGCAGGAGAAACCCCAGGCTCAGCAGCTCCAGACCCAGCACCCCCAGGCTCAGCAGTCCCAGACTCAGCACCCCCAGGCTCAGCAGCACCCAACTCAGTACCCCCAGGCTCAGCAGCTCCAGGCACAGCACCCCCCGGCTCAGCACCCCCAGGCTCAGCACCCTCCGCAGTAGCATCCCCAGGCCCAGCACCCCCAAGCTCAGCACCCCCAGTAGCAGCACCTCCAGGCCCGGCACCCCCGCGCACAGCACCCCCAGAGTCAGCACCCCCAGGCTCAGCACCCGCAGCAGCACCAGAGTCACCAGTAACCTCGACTGGGTCAACTGCGTCTACCTGGGACACACCTGAGGGGGCAGGAACCTGAGGGGGGAGGGGGTCTACCGGGGGGGGAACTGGCACAAGGAAGTCCGGCGGGGGGGGGAGGGAAGGAGTGCGGTAGGGGAAGAGGCGGTAAAAGGGGACTGACTCGTCGAACGTGACGTCCTAGGAGGACAGAACACGACGAGAGGAGGGGTGGTAAAACTGCCACCCTGGAGCGTCCGTGGGGAAGCCAAGGAAGACACAGGGAGCAGCACGAGGGGATAGCTTGTCCGCAGACAAGTCGCGGACAAACGCCCGAGATCCCCAAACACGGAACGCCGACGCATCGCAAACCTTCCCCGTCCACAACAAGACTGGGGACATCGCGGGCCGAGAGACCCTGGGGTGAAGGTTGAGCTGATGCGCCGCGTACCTCACAGCAAACGGCCACAGAAAATGGGGGGCAGCCGCATGCATCATGGACGTACGAGCGACATCCATGACCATGCCAATGTGGCGCTCAGCAATCCCATTTTGCTGTGGAGAGTCCGGAAGCGTGAAGGTCTGGCGGATCCCCCGAGCACGACAGTAGTCTCGCAGAAGACGAGAGGAGAACTCTCCGCCTCTGTCCGAGTGCAGACGCAGAACAGGAAAGTCCGAGCCGAAGCTCTTCCTGAGCTGGAGACGAGCCTCGCGGATCCAGTCGATCAGCACCTCAGTGACAGCACCCTTGCTGCGCAAGGGGAGGACTGTGGTGTAACGCGAGTAGTCGTCAACCACCAACAGGAAGTAGCGCTCGTGACCCTGCCCACGGACGGGGGCTGGGCCCCACACGTCCATGTGAAGCGTCTGCAGAGGAGCCTCTGTCGGGGGGAACTGGGAGGAGTGAGGAGTAGCCCGGAGGCGACCCTCGACACAGGGGACACAGGAAGGTCCAGGCCCGGAGGGAAGGGGAGGGAGAGACTGGGGAAGACCAGAGACAAGGACACGGGAAGCCATGCTCCGAAGACGGGGCAAGGACGGGTGGCCAAGACGGTGGTGCCACAGGAGAGTCTCGTGAGACAGGAGGCGACAAGAACAGGGGGCAGACTCAGGACCTGACCGGGACGCAGCAGCAAGCACCTGACCTGACGCAGCTACCTGACCGGGCGCAGGGACAGGAGGAGACGTAGTGGTCAGGGTGTAGAGACTCGACCCCGGCCGACGTGAGAAGGTGGCCAGGTGTCGGCCTGTGCGTGCGTCCGTGCAGTGGGTCACCCGCTGACTCGCAGGAGTGAACTGGTGAACCCCCGCATTCTGCAGGTCCGCTCCACTCACCAAGTTCGTAGAGAACGA